CGGCGGAGTTCCTCAAAGGAACCCGCCGATGTTGACGTGTTTTTTTTCATTATTGTTTTGCAGACCCAATTTAACTCTTTTCGGATCCTGCTTTGCTGAAGGATTAGGAGGGATCACAGCTCCAGATTTCTGGATTTTTTTTTTGAGGAATAGATTTCCGGATTGCTTTTTTTTTTTTGACAAGAAGATTTCTGGATTGCTAGCTGCATATTATTTGAGCTTCGGCCCGGAGGCTGTTCAATTGCAATAAAATTGAAGTCGTTGAGAGCTGATCCGATTTCTTTGGTCCTTCCGTTGACAAAAAAAGTATTAATTGAATGATGGGAAGGGCGCAGTGTAATTTTCGCATCGCAGCCGTCCATTCGGCACCGATCCGACCGTCCATTGCCCGTGCGCGCGGATCGGCGGGCCCACGCCACCCCTTCCCGCGCCGTTTAAATACTCCGCCGAAACTCGTCTTCCAGGCATCACCAACACAACCCACTCCCGCCAACACAGCGCGCTCCCGCCTCGTCAAATCCTAATTCCCCATCGCCCATCGCCAAATCTCTCCGCGCCTCCACCCCGCCAGCCGCCATGGAAGCCTCAGCCGCCGGCGCCGTCGCGAAGGCGAAGAAGTACGTGGTGGGGCGCAAGCTCGGCGGCGGGCCCAGGAAGCAGGCGGTGGCGCGGTCCGTCAAGGCCGGGCTGCAGTTCCCCGTCGGCCGCATCGGGCGGTTCCTCAAGAAGGGCCGCTACGCGCAGCGCGTCGGCATGGGCGCCCCCGTCTACCTCGCCTCCGTCCTCGAGTACCTCGCCGCCGAGCTGCTGGAGCTCGCCGGGAACGCCGCCAAGGACAACAAGAAGTCCCGCATCATCCCGCGCCACCTGCTGCTCGCCATCCGGAACGACCAGGAGCTCGGCAGGCTGCTCGCCGGCGTCACCATCGCCCACGGCGGCGTGCTGCCCAACATCAACCCCGTGCTGCTCCCCAAGAAGGCGGCCGACAAGGAGCCCAAGTCGCCCAAGAAGGCCGCCAAGTCCCCCAAGAAGGCCTAGTCATTACTTACTGTCTAGTAGGAGTACTTCGTAATAGAATTAGTGTTCGCTGTTTGGGTAATGGTGTCGATGTAGCGATGTTCTGCTCTGCTTTGAAAAAAAGAACGTCAGAGATCTCTCTGACTTGCTGTAAATTTCTGCTCTGTCGACAATCTGTTCATGATTTTGTAGTGCTATATGGAGTTCTACATTTGTGCGGACGGATGAATTGTTGTATTTATTACCAATCGTCTGTATCTGACAAATTGACTTGGCGTGGTTACTAGAAAAACTAGCAGGAGTCAGAGTTGCAAGCTGAAGAAGCAGAGGAGCATCCCTGACCAGTATTTTACATGTCACGTAGTATGAGTTCAGGTTCAGACGAAGAAGCCGGTGCGCACGAACAAGGGGTTGATGGGCAAGCTTGGCAAGAAGGAAGATCCTGGAAGATAAGCCCCTCTTGCCTTGCCTTGTCTGACTCTGACATGATCGGCCCGTCGAATTCAGTTCACGGTGCCACTGAATGAGAGTGTCTGATTCAGTCCTTTCTTGCCGATGCAAGCGAAACTCGCAGGACTTCAGAGAAGCACAAGCAGGAATTGTTCAGAAGTTCACGGTTTGTGCTTTGGTTTGGGCAGAAGAAGAAGCCGCCTCGGTTCATGCTGGTGTTCATGTGTCAAATGCAGGGTGATCTGGGCGCACCTGAGGAGCGTCGGCGTCTGGCTTGACAAGATCATACCACTGTGGCACCACCACATCGGCCAGAACGCGCTCTTGGACTCAGACCTGTACCTCCTCCGCGCAACAAACCCATTGCTCTGAATTTCTGAATTCTGAATTCTGAACCTGATTCAGTATATGGAGCTCAAGCAGCATGCCCGTTGTTCCTTCCTTATTTCAGCAGGTCACGAAAACTGGCACAAAGCCATGTATGTGCTCACTTTGTCGGACAACATGGTGATCTCTTTCATAAACTGGTTCAGAAGGCACTGCAAGAGTCAAGTCGGCTGGGCCGTCCCCGCAGTCGATCAGCTGCCGGCGACTCCAACCAATGAACCAAACACAAGCTCCTGGAAAGGTACGGCGAAAAGAAGCCACCATTCTTCTCCACGGCAACCTGGAGCTTGGAACACCTGAGAATTCCGATCACAGCGCTGATGTTGTGACTCGTGATGCCATCCGCAGGTACTGCTCGCAAGTAGCGCAGTGCAGGAGCTGGAGCTAAATTTATCCCCCCTTAGACCGAATAGGGGATCGGTTAGAAATGCCCTCACTCCTGCAAATGAGTTGTAGGAGGTTTGGCGCGATCTGGACCGGCGAGTGAATTAACACGATTGTTGGAGGAGGTTTGGTGCGATCTAAACCGGCGAGTGAATTACACAAATTGTTGGAGGAGGTTTAGTGTGATCTAGACGGAGAGTGAATTACACGATTGTTGGAGAAGGTTTGGTGCGATCTGTACCGGCGAGTGAATTATTAGCGACATCCTTTTTATTTTTTCGTCCACTCTCTGTGCGCTGCCCTACTAGTCTACTGTACATGATATTCGCACAAAAAAGAGTTTACTGTGCATGAAACAGTTCGTCGGCCAAAATTTCCCCTTGTCTTGATAGATACAGGCGTCGTGGTTTCTATTTCATCATGTACTACTTCTGTTGCAGTTTTCTTTGGTGATGAAGACTTCCTCTTCGATGAGAATGACCGAAGCTTCAGGGACAAGAATAAAGTGATGCCCTTTTGGTTTGACAGCGAGCTTTGGTTAAGCGTCGTGCTTAGCTTTGGTGCCTTTATGAAAGTGTTCTGAATTAGTGCAGTATGCACCTGTGTAACCTTAGTATAAATTATTTGTAATCAGTACCTGGACCAGTGTTCTAGATGGATGATTGCAGGCAATGTACTAGGAGTATGTCTGCATAAGACTACTACCCCTTGGCTATTGTAATTTATGCACCTCTCAAATGTTGGATTGGGTATTATGTATCCACCTATTGTGCTACTTTGCTGCTCTATAGCACTGAGCTTTATGCCCTGCTTCTCTCAATCAGGCTACACACTTCTCCTTTGTGCTCAACTCCTGTTGTTTTTAATCAGGATAAATACTTATGATTTATCATGTGCAACTAAAGATGGTAAGCTTGCCCAGCTGGCACACGCGGTTAGCCACAAGGTTTGGACCCGACACCGTGCGGTAGGGCGCGCTGCTGGTCTAGTTCTTATTATGATAGGTTAAAATATTTGTTCGCCAGACACTTCTACTTTGGATTTATGGTTACCTTTGATGAAAGTGCATTTTCTACTACCGTGCATTAATCAGCCGCTTAATTATTTCAGGATCCTAAAGAAATCACAATGTACTAACCTTCTGCACGTCTTATTTTTCTTGACCTTTCTGTCACATGATCAGTTTGTGTGTGTCAGCCTTTCTTAAATAGTGTTTTTTTGTTTGGATGCCTCCCCCTTTTGCAACTCTATATATCCTAAAAATTTTATTTTCTCTTTCTATTTAAAGATTTGGATGCTTGATATCTTCTGAAATAAAAGTTTGTGTTATATTCTATTTGGACAAATGTGTTTATACCGACGAGATATTTTAAACAAAACTGATCTATAAAAAACTTGATGAAACTTGGTACATACAATAGTTTTTTACAGTTTCGTAAGGTCTCTCCATGTTTCATATTTGAATTTTAAAATTTGTGAAAATAAAATATATTCAAGAGTGATCTTATTTCAATGTTCTCTTCACAAGGAACATAAATTTGCAAATGTATCATAAATCAAACTTACTTTTCAAAAGATAAAATAAATTTAAATTTTAGAATCATATGAAAAAATAACTGGTGGCTGATACAGGTAATAACTTACTGTTCAGTATTACTAGTCTCTACTTTGTGAGTGAGAGGAACGGTATTGCAGGTAATAACTACGAGGGAAAGTTGTCAGGAGAAATAGTGATTGATTGATACGACATAATTAATGCTCTCTCCGTTCCATACTACTCGTCACAAGTTGTACTAAATCAGCGACGTGTAATATGGAACGGAGGGAGTAGAACAAGGGGCCATAAATTGATATTAACTAAGCAACACAAAAACCAGATGCATGCACGGATCCGAATCTCAAAGATAACCGGTGGCTAATACATGTATACCGTGCATTCTCTACCTTTGGTAGTTCTTATTATGATAGGTTAAATACTTGTTGGATTTATGGTTACCTTTGATATTATCGTTTATTTATTATTTTCTACTTCTGTGCCTTGATATACTGACATTCTATACTGCATACCCGCAAACGATTATTGGAGGAGGTTTGGTGTGATCTGGACCGGCGAGTGAATTATTAGCGACATCCTTTTTATTCCTTTCGTCCACTCTCTGTGCGCTGCCCTACTAGTCTACTGTACTCTACATGTAATGAAACAGTTCGTCCGCCACTTTTTGATGAATGATTGAAAGCTCGTCAGAAAAAGAAGAGGAGACACAGTGCGCGTGTACGGTGCGCGGCAGGTAGAGAGAGAGACCTCGCGACATAAGTCAGTTGTACCACCGGCGATCGAGCCAGTCTCTCCCGGCTCCGGCTCCGGCGCGCCGCTATCCATACCAGAGGTCCTTTCCCTGCCGCCCGCGGGATACAACATACAAGGATGAATTCCCTCTCCAACCTCCTCGCCCCCCGCGCGCGCCCTTCCCTCCCGCTCCCGCTCCCGCTCCGCGCCGCCGCCCCGGCCACCAGCAGCGCCAGAGCGGCGGCACCGGCCCCGCGACGGTGGCGGCAGCGCGCGCGGCTGCCCTCGCCGGTCTCGGCCGTGGCGGCGGAGGCGCCCTCGGCAGCGTCGCTGATTGATGGCGAGGAGAAGGAGAAGGAGGAGGGGCAGTTCGACTGGCTGGACCAGTGGTACCCGCTGGCCCCCGTGTGCGACCTGGACCCCGGCGCGCCGCACGGCAAGACGGTGCTGGGCCTCCGCGTGGTGGCCTGGTACGACCGCGCCGTGGACGAGTGGCGCGTGTTCGACGACGCCTGCCCGCACCGCCTGGCGCCGCTCTCCGAGGGCCGCATCGACGACAAGGGCCACCTCCAGTGCGTCTACCACGGCTGGTGCTTCGACGGCCGCGGCGCCTGCCAGTTCATCCCACAGGCCCCCGCCCTCGGCCCACCTGTCTGTAACCATCCATCCATTCTCCTTCTTCCTCCTCCGTTCGATCACAAAACCAAAACCAAAACCGAAATGTTTTCTTCTCTGAATTGCGCGGCGCAGGTGCACAAGAACAGCAAGGCGTGCGTGGCGTCGTACCCGAGCGTGGTGCAGAACAACATCCTGTGGTTCTACCCGAGGGCCGACGAGGAGCACCGGGACGTGTTGCAGAGGAAGCGCCCGCCATTCATCCCGGAGATCGACGACCCCTCCTTCGTCACCGTCTACGGCGTCAGGGACCTCCCCTACGGGTACACGTCCTGTGAACCTCGATCGATATATGCGGCCGCCTCCCTCCATTGCAGAATCTCACAGCTCAGATGATACCCTTGCAGGTACGATGTGCTGGTGGAGAACCTCATGGACCCTGCCCATGTCCCCTACGCGCACAAGGGGTTGATGGGCAAGTTTTGCAAGAAGGAAGACCTCGGCAGATAAGCCTCTCTCTCTCTCTCTATATATGCATGCCTGACATCGAATTCAGTTTGCAGAGTGTCACTGAAACACTGAATACAAATGCTGATTCAATCGTTGTTCTTGTTCTCTTCACAGTTGAGTTCGACATCGAAGGCGGTGGGCCGATAAAGATGAAGACGAAGGAGGCGAACGTGGACGGGTTCCTGACGGAGCAGCAGGAGAACCGCGGCTACTTCCGGTACGTCGCGCCGTGCACCTTCTACGGCTCGCCGCTTCCCAGAGAGGTCGCACCGTTCGCCGTCGACGACTCGCCGCTTCCCAGTGAGGCCACGGAAGAGGTATGCAGCCATGGATTGATGAGCCCCGTCTGCAAGTGAAGTTGGCAGCACTGGACACTGGAGAGACCGAGAGAGGAACAAATCAGTTTATGGCATGGATTGGTTTGGGCATGCAGGAGAAGAAGAAGAAGCCCCAGTTCATGATGGTGTTCATGTGCATCCCAGTGGCGCCGGGGAAGAGCAGGGTGATCTGGGCCTTGCCGAGGAACGTCGGCGTCTGGCTCGACAAGGTCATACCGCGGTGGTACTACCACATGGGCCCGAACGCCCTCTTTGACTCGGACATGTACCTCCTCCACGTCGAGGTAATTAATGGAGCTCAAGCAACAGAGACACATTGCTCTGAATTTCTGAATTCTGAACATGATCCCATTGTTCTTCCTTCGTTTCAGGAGCGCAACTTCGCCGCGGCCGGCGTCGAAAACTGGCACAAAGCCGTGTACGTGCCCACGTCGTCGGACAACATGGTGATCGCCTTCAGAAACTGGTTCAGAAAGCATTGCAAGAGCCAGGTCGGCTGGGCCGTCCCCACAGCCGATCAGCTGCCGGTGACTCCAACCAAAGACAAGCTCATGGAGAGGTGCCACGACAAGCTGGAGCTTGAAACGCCTGATAATTCCGATCATAACAGCGTTGATGTTGTCCGCAGGTACTGGTCGCACGTGGCGCAGTGCAGGAGCTGCAGCGCGGCGTTGAAGGCCATGAAGGCGCTGGAGGTCGCCCTGCAGTTCGCGTCGGTTGCGGTCGTCGGGTTCCTCGCCGTCGCCAAGGGGACGCTGGTGACGTCGGTCGTGCAGAGAGCCGCCGTCGTGTCCTTGGCCGTGCTGTGCTTCGGGGCGTCCCGCTGGCTGGCGAGCTTCATCCAGAAGAACTTCTATTTCCATGATTACATCCATGCTTACAAGTGAAGACATATTCCGGCCCGTGCCATGCAATCAAAGAAAAATAGATGTGCCGAGAGAGGGCTTTAATACATATATGCTCCTTCATGTATGCCTTCACATCCTTATGCTGTCCAAATAAAGGAAAGTTGTAAATATGCTAGCAGTTTTGCTAAGTCGCAGTAAGACTTCGTTATGTCTCAGTCGATGATATATTCCTTTCATCTTGCACGGAGATTCGTAAAAAAGAATTCTTTTTACTTTCTTTTTTTCTTCTTCTTATATACTAGTATCACTTGACTCAGACAGCTATGTCTTAGTCAACTGAGACCTAGGAGAGCATTGCTAAATTCGGGCATGACCTTTGCTCATTTTTTAAGTATTTGGATCACAATTCAAATAGGTGAAATAAAAAGGAGTTAAGTGCATAAGTACATTTCATATATGAAATGGAAGTGCATTTAAATAATTAAGAATAAATGAATAAGATTCCAACTTTATTATAATAAACAAAAAATACAAACTTAATTACAAGTTTGTTAATAACAAAATGAAATGGATAAAGAAACAATACATTTTATTGAGGATCAAACAATTACAAAGTGATCACACAGAATATACATTATAATTAGAAACAGGAATCTTTACTAATGGATTTACATAGATCAAAAAGTAAAAGAAGAAAAGAAATGTAACCCCTAGAACTAAACCTAAACTGGAGTAGTTCTTCTTCTTCTTCTGATCCTCTTTACTTCTTGATCAAGACCTACAAAACAAACAACAAACAAAAGGAATTGTGTTATAGTTAAAATGTTGCATTTTCCAAAGGGAAATGCATTTCTATATGAGCTGGCACTTAGGACTACTTGGTACTGGTCCAAATATCCTTAAATAGAAAGTTCCAAAGGAAATCCAACATAGCCAAGTAATGAACATTAAGTAACCAAATGTACAGTATCAGAGACAAAAGGAACAGTACATGGAGAGAACAGCTGTAGCAAATCAAGTTCAAGAGTGGAGTTGCCCAGGATATAGGCACCACAAGAGGTGAAAGGCACAGCTCATGCTGCTGTACATTAGTGCAAAAACGCGGAGTTGGATCCGTTACTTTCATTCAGCACCGTTGGATCCTCATTCAATGGCCAAAAACAGATTGTGCTCCGTTCACCTTCACCATCTCGTTTTTCTTCCTCACGCTGCCGCCGACCTACCCAGCCTTAACGAATGTGTGTTCCGATATTCAATGGCTAAAAACAGCAAATTCTTTGAACAATTCTCACTGTGTGTTCCGATATTTTACTCAGCATATACCTTTATTATAGTTAATCTAATCCCTCTAGGTAAGAATAAGTAACAAAATCAAGAACACATAGAGTTGACATAGAAGGGTGGAAGGACTCGGATCTTAGCACGCCTCACACTACCAGAATGTGTGATGGGATCGCTACCCTTGCATAGGGCTAAGTTAATCGCCCGTGGGTAAAATAACACACCTGTGCAGAGTGTATTAAATTGTGACTTGTCACTCCCTGATCTGGGAAAGATCCGTGAGCGCGGCGTGAAAGGAGTCTATCGGAGATTCTAACAACCCGTGAAGTCTGATGACTAAATGTTTTAAGTAAAACTTGATGCTACAGATATTTTCCAAAATCATTGCCGAGACCTATTTGGAATCAGTAGTAGCTACAGTGCATCTCCACCTCACGATATCTATGAACTTGTTGAGTACCTCCTGTACTCATCCCTTGTACATTAATCCCTTTAGAGTCCCTACGAAGGAGAACCCTGAGGACCCCGAAGCAGATGCAAAGTTCTTCTACGAGAAGCCAGACTTATCAAGAGGAGCGAACAAATGTGTCAATTACGTCATCACAGATGAAGATGAGCCTGAGGAAGAAGTGTTAGATCAGTAGTCATAGGATAGTCATTGCAATAGAAGTAACCTAGTCACGTTAGCCGTGACCAAGGCTAGGATCACCAGATCATAGTATCATAGTGGCACAGTGTCTTCTGGTACCAGTAGATTGAATCTTTTGGATCTTGTTCAAATGAGTTTGTAATGTATGAGTTTGTTGTTTAGAGAGGCGATTTTCTATACATGATGGTAGCTACGCACGCATAATGGCAACCACAAACCCTTTGGCATAAGTGTCTTCTTTATATACGAGGTGTCGGGTTTCTTATGGCATTGCTACAAGTGCATTTTTGTTGTATAGAAATGACTTTTTCTCACGTCTCGTTGTCTTTTTATTACCTTTTTCACACAAATGCCCTTTTTGAACCAAAAGGGGTTTCCCCCGCCCCAACTTTTTATAAAGCCAAAGCAAAGCCACCAACATAAACTGTTAATAGCGCTCGGCGGCAACTGGAGAGTAGTTGCCACAGAAGAAAGCCAGGTTTTAAGCTGCCCTATTACATAGTTTTTAGGCAGATCTAGACATGATACATATCCAGGTAGGCAAACATGCCAGCTCACAAATAGATCAAAGCAAAGATGTGCAAACTAGCAGGACGCAACCCAACGATGCTCCGAAGATACATTTAGTGCCACTCCGAAGATTCAAGTAGGTCCCAATCTTCAGAGTTGCGTTTAATTCTTTCCAATAAATCCCATTTGAATTCAATAGTCTTCATCATAAAAGAGCCAGCACAAGAAGTATCGAGCATGCTGCGATTGTTATCAGAAAGCCGAGCATAATTTTTTTGAATAATCATTTATTTTGAGAGCTCATGATTGGGGCATGAATATAAATTGATTTAAGCCTCCCCCAAGCTTGAGCGATGCTTTCTCCTTCGCGAGGCCAGAAACTATATATATAATTGCGATCACGATGAACAAGATGCATAGGATAAAACCTCTGATGAAATTCCAATTTCAATCGTTTGTAGTTCCATGACCCCGTATCATCACATAGCCTATACCATGTCAATGCATCTCCCTTTAAAGATAAAGGAAATACCTTCTTCTTAATAACATCTCCAGACACACCTGCAAGCTTAAATAATCCACAAACCTCATCCACATATATTAGGTGCTCATCAGGATGCTTTGTTCCATCTCCTGTAAAAGGATTAGCTAGCAGTTTTTCTAACATACCCGAAGGAATTTCAAAGCAGATATTTTCATTTTCAGTAGGTTCAGTAGGTTGAGGAGCAACTCTTTGCTCTACTGGTCGGGGTGAAGATACCCCGAACAAGCCCCTCAGAGTATTACTTTCTATAGTAACAAGTGACAGTAAATTTCAGCATACTATATAAATTTTTCCTTACCAAATTCCACCTACCAAAAGCGCTTCACTCCCCGGCAACGATGCCAGAAAAGAGTCTTGATGACCCACAAGTATAGGGGATCTATCGTAGTCCTTTTGATAAGTAAGAGTGTCGAACCCAACGAGGAGCAAAAGGAAATGATAAGTGGTTTTCAGCAAGGTATTCTCTGCAAGCACTGAAATTATAGGTAACAGATAGTTTTGTGATAAGATAATTGGTAACGAGCAACAAGTAACAAAAGTAAATAAAGTGCAGCAAGGTGGCCCAATCCTTTTTGTAGCAAAGGACAAGCCTGGACAAACTCTTATATGATGTAAAGCGCTCCCGAGGACACATGGGAATATCGCCAAGCTAGTTTTCATCACGTTCATATGATTCACGTTCGGTGCTTGGGTGCGCTTTAAGAGGAGATGGTGCTGGTGAAGATGTTGATGGAGATTGCCCTCTCCTGATGAGAAGAGTGTTGATGATGACGGTGGTGATGATTTCCCCCTCCCGGAGGGAAGTGTCCCCAGCAGAACAGCTCCGCCAGAGCCCTAGATTGGTTCCGCCAAGGTTCCGCCTCGTGGCGGCGGAGTCTCGTCCGGAAAGATGACTTATGATTTTTTCCTCATCGAAAGACTCCATATAGCAGAAGATGGGCATCGGAGGGCCACCAGGGGGCCCACGAGGTAGGGGGCGCGCCTAGGGGGTAGGGCGCGCCCCCACCCTCGTGGGCAGGGTGTGGCCCCCCTGGTGAACTTCTTGCTCTCAGTATTTTTTATATATTCTGAAAATGAATTCCGTGAAGTTTCAGGACTTTTGGAGCTGTGCGGAATAGTTCTCTAATATTTGCTCCTTTTCCAACCCAGAATCCCAGCTGCCGGCATTCTCCCTCTTTATGTAAACCTTGTAAAATAAGAGAGAATAGGCATAAGTATTGTGACATAATGTGTAATAACAACCCATAATGCAATAAATATCGATATAAAAGCTTGATGCAAAATGGACGTATCACATAGCTGCTTCAGAAGCAACAAATGAATGAGTTCATATCCGATCTAGGTGTAATACCTAGTGCATTGGGTCCAATGAAAATCTTTTGTGACAATACTGGTGCAATTGCCTTGGCAAAGGAATCCAGATTTCACAAGAGAACCAAGCACATCAAGAGACGCTTCAATTCCATCCGTGATCAAGTCAAGGAGGGAGACATAGAGATTTACAAGATACATACAGATCTGAATGTTGCAGAACCGTTGACTAAGCCTCTCTCATGAGCAAAACATGATCAGCACCAAGGCTCCATGGGTATTAGAATCATTACTATGTAATCTAGATTATTGACTCTAGTGCAAGTGGGAGACTGAAGGAAATATGCCCTAGAGGCAATAATAAAGTTGTTATTTATATTTCCTTATATCAAGATAAATATTTATTATTCGTGCTAGAATTATATTAACCGGAAACTTAGTACATGTGTGAACACATAGACAAACAGAGTGTCCCTAGTATGCCTCTACTTGACTAGCTCGTTAATCAAAGATGGTTAAGTTTCCTAGCCATAGACATGTGTTGTGATTTGATGAATGACATCACATCATTAGAGAATGATGTGATGTACACGACCCATCAGTTAGCTTAGCATAATGGTCGTTTAGTTTTTTCTGATATTGCTTTCTTCATGACTTATAGATGTTCCTCAGACTATGAGATTATGCAACTCCCGAATACCGGAGGAACACCTTGTGTGCTA